TCAGTGTTTCTGCCCCTCAGTGTTTCTGCCGCTCAGTGTTTCTGCCGCTCAGTGTTTCTGCCGCTCAGTGTTTCTGCCGCTCAGTGTTTCTGCCGCTCAGTGTTTCTGCCGCTCAGTGTTTCTGCCGCTCAGTGTTTCTGCCGCTCAGTGTTTCTGCCGCTCAGTGTTTCTGCCCCTCAGTGTTTCTGCCGCTCAGTGTTTCTGCCGCTCAGTGTTTCTGCCCCTCAGTGTTTCTGCCCCTCAGTGTTTCTGCCGCTCAGTGTTTCTGCCGCTCAGTGTTTCTGCCCCTCAGTGTTTCTGCCGCTCAGTGTTTCTGTCGCTCAGTGTTTCTGCCGCTCAGTGTTTCTGTCGCTCAGTGTTTCTGCCGCTCAGTGTTTCTGCCGCTCAGTGTTTCTGCCGCTCAGTGTTTCTGCCGCTCAGTGTTTCTGCCGCTCAGTGTTTCTGCCCCTCAGTGTTTCTGCCGCTCAGTGTTTCTGCCGCTCAGTGTTTCTGCCCCTCAGTGTTTCTGCCCCTCAGTGTTTCTGCCGCTCAGTGTTTCTGCCGCTCAGTGTTTCTGCCCCTCAGTGTTTCTGCCGCTCAGTGTTTCTGCCCCTCAGTGTTTCTGCCCCTCAGTGTTTCTGCCTCTCAGTGTCTCTGCCTCTCAGTGTTTCTGCCTCTCAGTGTTTCTGCCGCTCAGTGTTTCTGCCGCTCAGTGTTTCTGCCCCTCAGTGTTTCTGCCGCTCAGTGTTTCTGCCGCTCAGTGTTTCTGCCCCTCAGTGTTTCTGCCGCTCAGTGTTTCTGCCCCTCAGTGTTTCTGCCGCTCAGTGTTTCTGCCCCTCAGTGTTTCTGCCGCTCAGTGTTTCTGCCCCTCAGTGTTTCTGCCCCTCAGTGTTTCTGCCTCTCAGTGTTTCTGCCCCTCAGTGTTTCTGCCCCTCAGTGTTTCTGCCTCTCAGTGTTTCTGCCCCTCAGTGTTTCTGCCGCTCAGTGTTTCTGCCCCTCAGTGTTTCTGCCGCTCAGTGTTTCTGCCCCTCAGTGTTTCTGCCTCTCAGTGTTTCTGCCCCTCAGTGTTTCTGCCCCTCAGTGTTTCTGCCCCTCAGTGTTTCTGCCCCTCAGTGTCTCTGCCCCTCAGTGTTTCTGCCGCTCAGTGTTTCTGCCTCTCAGTGTTTCTGCCCCTCAGTGTTTCTGCCCCTCAGTGTTTCTGCCCCTCAGTGTTTCTGCCCCTCAGTGTTTCTGCCGCTCAGTGTTTCTGCCCCTCAGTGTTTCTGCCCCTCAGTGTTTCTGCCCCTCAGTGTCTCTGCCCCTCAGTGTTTCTGCCGCTCAGTGTTTCTGCCGCTCAGTGTTTCTGCCCCTCAGTGTTTCTGCCCCTCAGTGTCTCTGCCCCTCAGTGTTTCTGCCGCTCAGTGTCTCTGCCCCTCAGTGTTTCTGCCGCTCAGTGTTTCTGCCTCTCAGTGTTTCTGCCTCTCAGTGTTTCTGCCGCTCAGTGTCTCTGCCGCTCAGTGTCTCTGCCGCTCAGTGTTTCTGCCGCTCAGTGTTTCTGCCTCTCAGTGTTTCTGCCGCTCAGTGTTTCTGCCGCTCAGTGTTTCTGCCTCTCAGTGTTTCTGCCTCTCAGTGTTTCTGCCGCTCAGTGTTTCTGCCGCTCAGTGTTTCTGCCTCTCAGTGTTTCTGCCGCTCAGTGTTTCTGCCTCTCAGTGTTTCTGCCTCTCAGTGTTTCTGCCTCTCAGTGTTTCTGCCGCTCAGTGTTTCTGCCTCTCAGTGTTTCTGCCTCTCAGTGTTTCTGCCGCTCAGTGTTTCCGCCGCTCAGTGTTTCCGCCGCTCAGTGTTTCCGCCGCTCAGTGTTTCCGCCGCTCAGTGTTTCCGCCGCTCAGTGTTTCTGCCTCTCAGTGTTTCTGCCCCTCAGTGTTTCTGCCCCTCAGTGTTTCTGCCTCTCAGTGTTTCTGCCTCTCAGTGTTTCTGCCGCTCAGTGTTTCTGCCCCTCAGTGTTTCTGCCCCTCAGTGTTTCTGCCCCTCAGTGTTTCTGCCCCTCAGTGTTTCTGCCCCTCAGTGTTTCTGCCGCTCAGTGTTTCTGCCGCTCAGTGTTTCTGCCTCTCAGTGTTTCTGCCCCTCAGTGTTTCTGCCGCTCAGTGTTTCTGCCGCTCAGTGTTTCTGCCGCTCAGTGTTTCTGCCCCTCAGTGTTTCTGCCCCTCAGTGTTTCTGCCCCTCAGTGTTTCTGCCGCTCAGTGTTTCTGCCGCTCAGTGTTTCCGCCCCTCAGTGTTTCCGCCTCTCAGTGTTTCTGCCCCTCAGTGTTTCCGCCGCTCAGTGTTTCTGCCTCTCAGTGTTTCTGCCGCTCAGTGTTTCTGCCCCTCAGTGTTTCTGCCGCTCAGTGTTTCTGCCGCTAAGTGTTTCTGCCGCTCAGTGTTTCTGCCGCTCAGTGTTTCTGCCGCTCAGTGTTTCTGCCGCTCAGTGTTTCCGCCCCTCAGTGTTTCCGCCTCTCAGTGTTTCTGCCCCTCAGTGTTTCTGCCTCTCAGTGTTTCTGCCGCTCAGTGTTTCTGCCGCTCAGTGTTTCTGCCGCTCAGTGTTTCTGCCGCTCAGTGTTTCTGCCTCTCAGTGTTTCTGCCCCTCAGTGTTTCTGCCTCTCAGTGTTTCTGCCTCTCAGTGTTTCTGCCGCTCAGTGTTTCTGCCGCTCAGTGTTTCTGCCGCTTAGTGTTTCTGCCTCTCAGTGTTTCTGCCGCTCAGTGTTTCTGCCCCTCAGTGTTTCTGCCGCTTAGTGTTTCTGCCTCTCAGTGTTTCTGCCGCTTAGTGTTTCTGCCTCTCAGTGTTTCTGCCGCTCAGTGTTTCTGCCCCTCAGTGTTTCTGCCGCTTAGTGTTTCTGCCTCTCAGTGTTTCTGCCGCTTAGTGTTTCTGCCTCTCAGTGTTTCTGCCCCTCAGTGTTTCTGCCTCTCAGTGTTTCTGCCGCTCAGTGTTTCTGCCTCTCAGTGTTTCTGCCGCTCAGTGTTTCTGCCGCTCAGTGTTTCTGCCGCTCAGTGTTTCTGCCTCTCAGTGTTTCTGCCGCTTAGTGTTTCTGCCTCTCAGTGTTTCTGCCGCTCAGTGTTTCTGCCGCTTAGTGTTTCTGCCTCTCAGTGTTTCTGCCGCTCAGTGTTTCTGCCTCTCAGTGTTTCTGCCGCTCAGTGTTTCTGCCGCTCAGTGTTTCTGCCCCTCAGTGTTTCTGCCTCTCAGTGTCTCTGCCCCTCAGTGTTTCTGCCGCTCAGTGTTTCTGCCGCTGAGTGTTTCTGCCGCTCAGTGTTTCTGCCGCTCAGTGTTTCTGCCGCTCAGTGTTTATGTCGCTCAGTGTTTCTGCCGCTCAGTGTTTCTGCCGCTCAGTGTTTCTGCCGCTCAGTGTTTCTGCCTCTCAGTGTTTCTGCCTCTCAGTGTTTCTGCCGCTCAGTGTTTCTGCCGCTCAGTGTTTCTGCCGCTCAGTGTCTCTGCCGCTCAGTGTCTCTGCCGCTCAGTGTTTCTGCCGCTCAGTGTTTCTGCCGCTCAGTGTTTCTGCCGCTCAGTGTTTCTGCCGCTCAGTGTCTCTGCCGCTCAGTGTCTCTGCCGCTCAGTGTTTCTGCCGCTCAGTGTTTCTGCCGCTCAGTGTTTCTGCCCCTCAGTGTTTCTGCCGCTCAGTGTTTCTGCCCCTCAGTGTCTCTGCCGCTCAGTGTCTCTGCCGCTCAGTGTTTCTGCCGCTCAGTGTTTCTGCCGCTCAGTGTTTCTGCCCCTCAGTGTTTCTGCCGCTCAGTGTTTCTGCCGCTCAGTGTTTCTGCCGCTCAGTGTTTCTGCCGCTCAGTGTCTCTGCCGCTCAGTGTCTCTGCCGCTCAGTGTTTCTGCCGCTCAGTGTTTCTGCCGCTCAGTGTTTCTGCCCCTCAGTGTTTCTGCCGCTCAGTGTTTCTGCCCCTCAGTGTTTCTGCCGCTCAGTGTCTCTGCCGCTCAGTGTCTCTGCCGCTCAGTGTTTCTGCCGCTCAGTGTTTCTGCCGCTCAGTGTTTCTGCCTCTCAGTGTTTCTGCCTCTCAGTGTCTCTGCCCCTCAGTGTTTCTGCCGCTCAGTGTTTCTGCCCCTCAGTGTTTCTGCCGCCCAGTGTTTCTGCCGCTCAGTGTTTCTGCCGCTCAGTGTTTCTGCCGCTCAGTGTCTCTGCCCCTCAGTGTTTCTGCCGCCCAGTGTTTCTGCCGCTCAGTGTTTATGTCGCTCAGTGTTTCTGCCGCTCAGTGTTTATGTCGCTCAGTGTTTCTGCCGCTCAGTGTTTATGTCGCTCAGTGTGTGTAACAGCAGTCACTCGGGTCACACGCATACCCTCTAAAGCCAATGAGAGACAAACCTAAAAGGAGACGGAGGTGAATGAGGGAACTTTTGAAACAGCGACCTGTACGGGTGAAACTGGGATAAACACTAAACTAGACCATCTATTTGATCAGAGTCTAATCTGGGTCTGGGATGCTTGTTCAACAGCACTGAAAGCGTTTCCATATCTAAATAGCTTTTACATTTTTGTTTCATAAAGAAAATCATATGTATTTTTATCACAAAGTTAGTACGTTTGACTGAGTCAGAAGGTTTCATGGCTGTGAGAGTTACAGTAATTGTGTTGATCTGACTGTAGTTTATGGCTGTGAAATGTGCAGTGTTGCATCGAGCTCATGTGAAGACTGAGACCACCTGAGGCTTTCACTGCGAAGAAATAAATGGCTTTTTACGGTAGATTAACCTCCGACCTTTACATGAGCAGTCACAGAGGGTGTCTGAGTAATGGATGCCCTAGTACAGTGCACTCAGAGAATGATAAACAACTAAACTTTGACATATATACTTCATTCAAATTGCTTTGTACAATGCACTTAATTATTATGAGACTTAGGTGCATTCACACATTATATATGTTTAACATGAGATCGAGGGAAGGTCATATAATTGATGCTAAGATCAACAGAACTTTCAATACTAAGCAGTTAAAGCTGAGAACATCAGTCGTTAAGTCCTGTCGCCCTGATGAAGAGATGCGGTTGCCATGGTAACTGCTGTTGATGCTCACCTGTAGGTCAGGATCCTCCTCGTGATTCAGGTGGGCTTCCTCTGCTGCTTCCACCAACCGCTGGAGGACAAGACAGACCAATATTAATCTATCACTCACACACACACACACACACACACACACACACACACACAGGTGGGCTTCCTCTGCTGCTTCCACCAACCGCTGGAGGCCAAGACACACGAAGATTATTGAATCTCTCTATCTCTCACTCACACTCACACTTTAATGAATGAATGAATGAATGAATGAATGGTGCTGGAAACAAGCTTCCATATATGGTATGGAAGCTTGTTTCTGGCAAAAAAAAAAAAAGTAATTGTGACTTTTTATCTCACCATTCTGACTTTTTATCTCAGAATTGCGTGATATAAAGTCAGAATTGCGAGTTATAAAAGTCAGAATTGCATGATATAAAGTCGCAATTGTGAGAAATAAACTTGAAATTCTGACCCTTTTTTTTTCTAAGAATTGCAATTCTGACTTTATAACACGCAATTGGGAGATATAAAGACAGAATTGCATGATATAAAGACGCAATTGCGTGGTATAGTCTGAATTGCAAGTTTATTTCCCAAGGACCAAAATTTATGCTGATAAAGTCTGATGAAGAGTCTATGTGAGAATAGTCCTATAATACAGACTCTCTCTCTATCTCTCTATCTCTCTATATATCTCTATATCTCTCTCTCTCTCACACACTCACCTTTATGGCCTCAGCCTTCTTGTGAAACATCTGCTCCATTTCCTTAGCAAGTCTCTTCACCAGTTTGATTCCATCAATCTCCTCCACCCTCACCGACTGCTCAAACTCCTTGTACTTCTACAGAAACAGAGACATTTGACAATGACAATCATAAAACAAATAATCCCGGTCCTTGTTGCTCATTGGCCAGTCTAGTACAGCTGTAGAAACAGATGTGATGTCAATCTCGCTGCACAGCACCCATAGACAAGGCCATAGCATTTTCTGTAAAGCTGCTTTGAAACAATATGTATTGTGAAAAGCGCTATACAAATAAATGTGAACTGAATTGAAGGCCGTAACATGTCTTGAGCCTTTGGGGGGGTTATTGGTCTTTTTATGTATAGGCCTAATCAATTAAAACTATTTGCAATATTTTTTTTTTAATTCATTCTGATATTGACGAGCGCTGTTAGACTTCTGAGGCAGACCAGGCTACAAATGTAGCATTTAAAACTTTTTGTCATCCTAACATACAGAGCGGTGCATTATAGAGTGGCAAAACCCAGTAATTTCAACAGGAATCCACACACAATCAACAATTTCATGTGAGAGCAAAAGATTCTTACACGGATTTTGCAGTAATTTGCATTCGCTGCATTGACCAACAGAAAGCTGCTTAGTTTGAAATGACTTCTGTGTGAGCTGTGCTTCATACATCACTACACTACTGGAAATAGACATTTTTGCCCACAAAATTTACCTGATATTTCATTACCTTACAGCACCTTCTTTAATCGTCATTTGCACTGAAATGGTAATTGCACATTAAAGTCCCCCAGTAGTCAATAATTGTATTCCTTAAAACTCATCTTTGATCACCAAAATTATATATTTAAACGATTTTTCCTTGAAAAAAAATTCTTCATGCCTTAAAATATCTTGAATGTAACTCGACCATAGACTGTAAAAGAAAAAAGATGGATGAACATGAAGTGAACCCCCCCCCCCCCCCCGCCCTTTTCAGGACTTGTGCGGCACGCTTAAACTCGACACCTTTGCCTCATTTAGCATACGCGGTTCTATTCATATATGCAAATGAGCCCCGCCTCCACTCACTCACTCCGCTCAGAGATCCACTGGTTGACGATCACACGTTGATCTGATTGGTTACAAGGTCGTTTGTGACGTCAGAAACACCAGCGATTTCAAACCGTGTTTTTGAGACTGTCTTTGGTTCACTGCAGTTTTAAGGAGAAAATAATTACAAATAACAATAACAAATAGAAAAATAACAAATATTGAATCTAACTAATTTAATGATGTTTTATGATTTAAAACTATTCATTTTGTTTATATTTATTCTGATGAGCAGTGTTTAATTTGTTTACTGTAAGGACAGAGAAGGAAGAGACCGTCAGAAGTGTTCATAGCTTATGTGGGGATGAAACTGAATCTAATCCTTTTCCTGCTCCCATAACCTCACTCTCAAAGCCCTTCAATCCACTCCAGTCCGCTCGAGGCCAAACGTTATCTCAAAGGCTAGAGACGTGGCTCTTCACTCCACTAGCCAAGCATATGTGTGTGTCTTCCCAACATTTTCAGAACTTTGAGTAACATTTTCTCAGTTATGAACAAACATTATTCTAGTAAAGTCTAGTAAAGAACCAATGTTATCTGGTCTTTATATAATATTCTCAAAACATTAGCACAAAAACATTATTTCCCCTTTGAAGTAGAACTCAACACTGTGTCATGGTGTTCATGCTACGGGAATGCTCCACATGTGCTGGTGTTTGAAGCATGTGTGTTACAAACCAATCTTGATTGGCTACCGCAGTCAGGTGATGTCACATGCGTGCCCGGCAGGGTATATGAAGGCAACAAGAGAAAAAGTCATCAGCTTCTTTGTCTTCAAGCAGCCGTTTGTTTGTTGCAAGCTTACCAAGCTGATTTATTAAAGGATTTTGGTCCTGGAGGGATTATCTCCAGATGCGGTCCTTGCCCTCCGTTCCACCAAGCAGGAGCCCCATGCCGTTGGGCGCTCGTTAGCTACTATGGTTGCCACAGAGAGGCACTTATAGCTTAACCTCTCAGGGCTCAAAGAAAGGAAAGAGCTTTTCTCCTTGACGGATGCCCCGTTGTCGCCTACTGGTCTTTTAGGCGCAGCTGTCGAGACAGTGGTCCAAAAGTTCAAAGAGGAGATATTTAACCCTTTCGCACATAATGATCACACCGGTGTGATCAGTCTAGGCTGGTCCCTGAAGCGTATGATCACACCGGTGTGATCAGTCTAGGCTGGTCCCTGTAGCGTACGATCACGCCGGTGTGATCAGTCTAGGCTGGTCCCTGAAGCGTATGATCACACCGGTGTGATCAGTCTAGGCTGGTCCCTGAAGCGTACGATCACACCGGTGTGATCAGTCTAGGCTGGTCCCTGTAGCGTACGATCACACCGGTGTGATCAGTCTAGGCTGGTCCCTGAAGCGTACGATCACGCCGGTGTGATCAGTCTAGGCTGGTCCCTGAAGCGTACGATCACACCGGTGTGATCAGTCTAGGCTGGTCCCTGTAGCGTACGATCACGCCGGTGTGATCAGTCTAGGCTGGTCCCTGAAGCGTACGATCACACCGGTGTGATCAGTCTAGGCTGGTCCCTGTAGCGTACGATCACACCGGTGTGATCAGTCTAGGCTGGTCCCTGAAGCGTACGATCACGCCGGTGTGATCAGTCTAGGCTGGTCCCTGAAGCGTACGATCACACCGGTGTGATCAGTCTAGGCTGGTCCCTGTAGCGTACGATCACGCCGGTGTGATCAGTCTAGGCTGGTCCCTGAAGCGTACGATCACGCCGGTGTGATCAGTCTAGGCTGGTCCCTGTAGCGTACGATCACGCCGGTGTGATCAGTCTAGGCTGGTCCCTGAAGCGTACGATCACACCGGTGTGATCAGTCTAGGCTGGTCCCTGTAGCGTACGATCACGCCGGTGTGATCAGTCTAGGCTGGTCCCAGAAGCGTACGATCACGCCGGTGTGATCAGTCTAGGCTGGTCCCTGAAGCGTACGATCACACCGGTGTGATCAGTCTAGGCTGGTCCCTGGAGCGTACGATCACGCCGGTGTGATCAGTCTAGGCTGGTCCCTGAAGCGTACGATCACACCGGTGTGATCAGTCTAGGCTGGTCCCTGAAGCGTACGATCACACCGGTGTGATCAGTCTAGGCTGGTCCCTGAAGCGTACGATCACACCGGTGTGATCAGTCTAGGCTGGTCCCTGGAGCGTACGATCACGCCGGTGTGATCAGTCTAGGCTGGTCCCTGAAGCGGACTATCACACCGGTGTGATCAGTCTAGGCTGGTCCCTGAAGCGTACGATCACACCGGTGTGATCAGTCTAGGCTGGTCCCTGAAGCGTACGATCACACCGGTGTGATCAGTCTAGGCTGGTCCCTGAAGCGTACGATCACACCGGTGTGATCAGTCTAGGCTGGTCCCTGTAGCGTACGATCACGCCGGTGTGATCAGTCTAGGCTGGTCCCTGAAGCGTACGATCACGCCGGTGTGATCAGTCTAGGCTGGTCCCTGTAGCGTACGATCACGCCGGTGTGATCAGTCTAGGCTGGTCCCTGAAGCGTACGATCACACCGGTGTGATCAGTCTAGGCTGGTCCCTGTAGCGTACGATCACACCGGTGTGATCAGTCTAGGCTGGTCCCTGAAGCGTACGATCACACCGGTGTGATCAGTCTAGGCTGGTCCCTGAAGCGTACGATCACACCGGTGTGATCAGTCTAGGCTGGTCCCTGAAGCGTAGGATCATCAGTCCTTGTTCCCTCCGTTCCATTATAATTAGACCACACGTTTTATTCCTATCAGATACACATTGTGTAAGTAACTTTAAAGTTTACTCTATTCTTCTTCCAGTTCACCGGCCACTTACTTTAATGTATTTGGGGAAGAGTGGATGAATTCACGTGTTGTAAATCCAACAGATCCGATTCCCTGAACTGCGGCACAAACTAACACGGCGGCGCCCATCGCGCATTTAGTTCAACTAACACGATCGTTATAAAAGGCGTTTAAACAACAGAACACTTCCACTTGCACATATTTTACAATCGGAAAATCAGATATTTCATGCTATAGCTATAAAATGTGTGAATATTTTTAATAAAAAAGGAAAAATTAAATAAAAGGCAGATCATCAGTCATTCAGCGTTATTGTGGCTGTGGTGTATCACGTGACAAACAATGATGCGTCACCATGGAAACAATAAAGTGTTACGTTCTAAATAACGGTCGCCTTGAAAAACTCGCACTTGGGGGTCAGCCATAATATTTTAAACTTACGTGTGAAAAGGTTAAGCCTGTGGTGTTTGAGCTATACAGCCCTTGCCCCTGATGGAGACCTCAGAGGATTCAGGGCTCGAGGTGGCAACCTCACAAGAAGCCAAGAGAGGATCTTATAGAAGTAACCACAGCCAAAAGGCAAAGAAAGCCAAGCACTTAGAGTCCCTTTTTGGTTTAGAGGTGGTAGCAATATGCTCCTTATCACAAGGTTCTAGGAGATGTGGATGATGGCCAATACCGCAACTTGTATCCCACATCCTCATTGGTCAGCCATCCCCCTCAGGGACCAGGAGCGCAGAGGTGTTAGATAAATGCTCCCTTTGAGATTGCATGTCAATAGACTAAAAGAGTGGACAATCCTGCTTCAGCGTCCCACTGTCTTTGCTGTCGCCTTCTATGGCATGGAGCTTGGAGAGACATCTGCTTCTCGTTGAATCACATTCATTTAGGAAATAACATTCTGGCACTTCCTTTGGAAGTGGACTAGTAGCTAGTCCTGACCTCTGACCTGTAATGCCTGAATCATAATCATACACTGTTCGTTCGTTGGGCAGAGGAGAACTGAGCGACTGAGTCTGGGTTCTCACAAGGTTTTCTTCTCCATTCTGTCACTGATGGAGTTTGGGTTCCTTGCAATTGTCGCCTTTGAACAATATTATTGATCTCCTGCACTGACAGCATTATATGAGAACTGAGCTGAGCTGGACGATGACATCACGGTTTACTCCAGAGCGGTTATATATATATAAATTAACTAAATTAATAACTTTTTTACAACAGAAATGAACCA